AAACGTTGAAACGTATTCTGCGAAACGGGTATGCAGGACTGTACGATACGGATATCGGTTTCTATTAGGAGCAAATGCCAAAACCGATATTCGTTTTGTAAGCTACGGATTTTTTTTAGAGAGTACCTTACAAGAAGAATTCAAAGTAATAGAATTCGACAATAGAATTTGAATTATTTTACAATTCATTTTTTTGAATTACTTTATAATTCATTTCCGTCATCCAGTGGTGGGTTGACGATAATGTCGTGACGGTCAAATCTCTGCCAAGTTACAGTTTTAGAAGTCTTTAAACTTCGGAAATGATGATAAAGATGGAAGCAGTTCTCTAAAATAAGCCGAGGACGACAGTTCCAAACAACCGGTAAAAACTTGGACGCAAAGTACACATGTTGGATAGCTTCACGTTTTCCTATCAGAGAAAATATTTGTGTTTAAGAAGAACCCAGTTAAGGGATCTTTAACATTTTCATTATCTCTTTCATAAAATCCATAAAAGTAAAGATTAAATGAACGATTATAGCGTTGAAAATCTTCAGTTATTTGTTCTAATAATGTCGTACATTCTTCTAATTTGTCAAGACGTTCACATATTTGTTTCATAAGACCGTCGTAGATCACACCGACAATCCGGCTCGCGGACTTAGAAATTGAGTTTGGATCATGTGAAACAATATCAATCACAAATGCTGTTCTCATTTTGATTTGAGAGAAACTGATGGTGAACGTTTAGCCACTGATATTTCTATTGTCGGTGATTTCTCTATAGTAGTTTGGATCATTAATCAATTAACACAAATAAATGAGTAACTAGAGACGATTATCGTTTATAGAAATAAACACATACAATCGTTGGGTGATAAAAAATAGAGAAATGATGAAAAACGCAAAAAGGAGAATGAACAGCAAATTTTTTAATATTAGTTCTATGCTAAAAATTAACAAGATTTTTGTAATTAAGTAATTTTTTCTCAGTCAGATATTGCCAATAAGCCGAAAACATTTTAAGATAGATACTTTGAAGTATCCTCTACTAACTGGAAGAGTTTGAAGAAAATCTAAATGGGAGAGAAAACGTTTTGCCTAATAAAAACGTTTGCCGACGAGAAAACGTTTTGCCAACGTATAATTTATTCTAGTTATTAAAAAATAAGGCAATAAACTCTTACGAGGGAACATATCCAACTGTCAAATCGCTTTTCTAACGAAATGCGGTAGCTTATAGGTAATCGATCATGCTGATTCCGAATATGATAGCCGCTTTTCCTCATAGGCCTTTCCTAACCGGTTTCTGGTAAACAGTTTTCCAGGAACCTCGAAAAATCCCCAAGAATTTTCTGAATAAGTCACAACTGTAGCCCGCGAAATTCTGATTAAAATGAGACATCTCCCAGCTCTACACGATCTTTCTTTGCAAAGTTATGGAATTTACACGAAAAGCTCTAAATTCATCTTTCTGTAGCTCTGAGGTGACAATAAACATTTAGGGCTTTTCGTGTAAATTCCATAACTTTGCAAAGAAAGATCGTGTAGAGTTCATTCATTCAACTCGTTCATTTCTCTGTAAAAAGCAAAGTGAACAGGGAGAGAGTTTTTTTCAGGTTATACTTGGGAGATCAGCGTTTTCGAAAGTTGAGTCAAGAGAAGAAAGTGTAAAATTGAATTTTCCCACTTTTTTTCTTTCTAAAATGCTTTTTTTGGCGAGAAAACCGATACCGAGAATGTTAACAGCAGCTGAGGCAAACTGCTTCATACTCAAGAACGCTTCTCGGTGTTTATCGCTGAAGAGAGAAGGAAAAAGAAAAACGCATGCGTTCTTTTTCAACCATCGTTTTTCTCTATCGTCCACATGAGAAGAAATGTAGAGAACAGATTTACAAAAGAACGCAAGAATTGCGAGTACTGTCACAGGAGAGGTGCCAGTCTTTCTCCGTTTCTGAGTCTGTTATTTACGCAGTTAATTACGTATATTATATGCATTCGAACGGAATGAATGCTTGAATAAATACATCATATTTGCTTTTTGTTCTCTCACTTTTGGTATGCGCATCTATTGATTAGAGCCGTATCAAATAAGGAATATCTGTCTTTTCACATCTTGGCAAATGTTAGCAAATGTCTATATGTTAGGTCTATAGACATGTGCTAACATTTGCCATGATGTGAAAAGATAGAGATATTCCTTATTTGATACGGCTCTATTGTATAAAAGTGTACGATTTTGGATTTTAAAATAAAAAAATTGAAAATTGAAAACTCAACTCAGTTTAATCAGAATTTCGCGAGCTACAGTTATGACTTATTTAGAAAAATTCTTGGGGATTTTAACCGGTTAGGAAAGGCCCATGGGGAAAAGCGGCTATCATATTCGGAATCAGTATGATCGATTACCTATAAGCTACCGCATTTCGTTAGAAAAGCGATTTGACAGTTGGATATGTTCCCTCGTTAGTAGAAAAAGGATTTAGAGCAAGAAACAACTTTCATTCTTCTGAATAATCTCCTTATTAAACACCTGGTGCCATATCATTTTTCAATTTTACTATTTCGACAGTAAAGCTGTTGGTCGTCCACATTATATTGATGTTTGTTGTCGTCTCCTTTATATTAATCGTTTCAAAATCTTATAATTTCAATATAGAATAAATCAATACTATAAATATCTGAACAATAGCGATGACAAATCAACAAAAAAATGATTTTTCAAATGTTATTCTATCCAGTGATGAGCAACTCTAAGTACTTTTGATTTAAAGACTTTTCAATTACGTTGACCTGTCAGGGTTTGATTTAACTTGAGTTACCCAAATAACCTTGACTATAAATGGTACTAAAATTATATAGACTGTAAATGTTTTATGAACCACTCATTCGCTGCTTGCGCTACAACCTGAAACTGTTCTTTATACGCTGAAAAGTGACCACCATCAAACGTTACTAATTTTTTCGGTTCACCAGCTTTCTTATTAAATAGTTCAATTTCATCTTCCGTAAATGTTACTGTATCATTGCTAGCTACGAGCATCAACAATGGACATGGTGAAATTTTTTCAATATAGTCATCGGGTTCATATTCGCCATACATTTCTACGCTATGCAACGTTTGTTCGTTCCTCCAGTTTTGGTAACGCCACTTATCCTTATCCAATGCATGATCAACATCAAAAAAATTCCACCAGTCTTTCTGCTCTTCTGGTCGAATTATTGGTATTACCCTTGGTGTGTTACCCGCTGCTCTTCTCTCTCTTTCTCGTTCGAAGGCTTTCAATAATTTTTGAAATTCATCTTCGTTTTTGCTTCGTCGTTGCAAATTTCGTTTTCCACTAATGGATGGCATTTGTGAAACAACACATTTCACACGTTTGTCAGTTGCACTCACAACAAGTACATGACCACCACTGTAACTTGTACCCCATATACCGATACGCTGGGAGTCGACAAGATTTGTTAACGATTGTAAATACGTTATCGCCGAACTATAATCTTGAATTTGTTTTATTGGATTAATTTCTTGACGGGGCTCACCCGAACTCTCGCCAAAATTTCGATGATCGTACACAAGTACAACAAACTTTGATTGCACAAAGAATTCGGCATATAAATCCAAATAGAGCTCTTTTACAGCTCCATAACCATGTGTCATTACGATTGCTGGATACAACTGTTCATTATTAGTTTCTCGAACAGGCTCGTACAGCCAACCTCGCAGGATGACGCCATCATCAGCACTAAATTCAACATTACGACGTGTAAATGAAATGTTCATGACTTCAAAATAACTAAAAAGAAAATAAGTACAACAACCGAATTTGTTGTCTGTCATAACAGGCTTTTTTGCTAAATAGAAAACACCATGGGTTGTTCATGTTTTGAGCATATGAATAAAAGTAAATCCTTCACTTTAGCAAATTTTTCATGCTTTAAAATCGTCATACTATAAACCTCAGTTCATGCAACTAATGTTTAATACATAGACTTTCAGAGTGACCAAATAACTTAATTTAAGGGAGGAGGAGAGATGGCAAACCTCCCCTGTTTTTTTTGATCACTTTGCCACCCATGTCGACTTACATACATAGGGCGCTGAAAAAGTTTTTTCGTCCGGTTCTCCTAAAAGTCGTAATTTGAATGGAATTATTCTATTATAATGCTGAGACATATTCGTGATTATGTGCAAAATTTCGAACTTAGAAGTCTTGTCTGCCGTTGTATTTTCACATTTCTTTCAGATTAAATATATAAGATTTTTTTTAACTTTTGAACTCTCACGTGAACAGTTTCAAACTATGATTTTATGTGACTGGAAAATTGGCTTAACGAGTAAGGAAAGCCATGTCCATTTAGTGTAAGCATGGGAAGGAGGGGGGGGGATGACAAGCAGTTTCTGATCGTACAGTTCTCAATTGATATCATGAATTTCAACACAGTAATTCCAGTATTGAAGGTGCTGTCCGTTCAGACCGTCCCCGAACTGCTTTCAACGAAGAAACAGTTGATGCTGTCCGACCAATAATTGAAGATGATCCTCATTCAACATACAAACAGACTGAAGACATCCTGGGTACAACTTCGCCATCAATCAATTCAATTATTCATGATTATTTGAAGGTACACAAAATTTGTACTCGATTGATACTCATCAACCGGTGGCATTTTTGTTCACCGATGACCAAAAACAGTTCCGTATTCAATTTTGTAGTGATTCATTGGAAAGATTGAAGGAGGTCAGTCCCATCATGTATTAGACAAGAATGGTTCATGGTTTTATCGTTATGCTTCAACAACAAAAGGCAAACAAAACTTTGCGTTTCACAAACTGATCCATGACCAACCAAAGTTCATCGATACAAAAGTTTCAGCAAACGAATGGTGACTACTTTCTTCATGAAATCTAGTTTAATCAAGCCCATACCATTAGAACGTGGTGGAACGGTAACTGCACGATGGTATATCAATAGCTGCCTGCCACAAGTCTTCGAAACAGTATCATAATAGAGACAAAAGACTGATCGTCCAGGTCTCATTTTGCATGACGACAATACGAGGCCACATGGAGCCGGAGATCAACTGCGTGGAGTTCAATTCGAATTCAATTGCTTTAGCACAAGCCATTCAATGGGTTGTTCATCGTTTGAAATCATCTTTTATGAAACTGTCAGACAGTTTCACAAAAGATGATTTCAAAAGATGCTTCGGTGACTGGTTTATTCGAATGCACAAGTGCGTTGTTGATAACGAACAGTACTTCGAAAAACTACACTAGAATCCGTCTTGAAATATTTGTTTAAAGGGCTGGCGAAAAAACGTTTTTAGTGCCCCTTGTATATGACGGTACTTTTGAACCTCTCAGACACGTTCTTCCCATTCTTTTAAACTTTTGAAAGTTTAGAGAAATTTAAGAAACTTTTTAAGAAGATTGCTGTGCATTGAAGAAACATGCTCTGATGGTAAGACTGACTTCGATCGAGGGCATCAGACGGTCAGTACGCTGACGTCTCAGCGAACTTTAGATAAAAATAGTTTTGTTTTTCTTGAAATATTGGTGTTTAGGAAAACTAGTATTTTTTGAAAAGAAATATTTGGACGACCGAGACGCCAGCGGTCTTAATACGATTCATTACGAATTATTCTTTTGAAAAGCAAATATACAGTTTTATAGCGCTTGAAAAGCTTGTTTGATTATTCTCAAAGAACTGTTGACTTGCAAATAAAAATGTAAATTGCTGAACTGTCCATAACTACCGCTAATCAGGATTAACTGATTATTAATCTATATCTACTATCGCTTTCAATGAATAAAAGAGTCCGTTGTTTTGCTGATAACCTTTTAAGGAAAAGACATACCGACCTGCGGTTTTCACCGTTCGAAAGAAGATGAATTTTGCTAGAAATCCATGTGAAAACAGAGAGAAAAGCAACATCTGCATGGCGTGTCCTAAGCGAAACAAAATTGAAAAACACTTGCATTTTTGGTGGAAAAATTTTTTTTCTTTTTTTCGCTAGCCTAGGCCTCTGAAGTGTCCTCTTTCCAAATCTGTAAGAATTTTATTTTTATCATGTTTTCTCGCGGAGTTACAGGCCTTTTTACAGGACACATTTATAGGGTAGGTCTTCTGCTACTCAATAAAAAAAACCTCCATTTATAGGTTATCGACTGCGCAGATCGCAGTGGCAATGTTTATTTTACTATATTTGATCTTAGTGCGGATTTCGCTACCATCGGTATTTATATGTATTTGTAAAGCCACGTGACCGCTTGTATTTTTTTCCTCCGTTCTGAATATAGAAAACAGCTGATGTGCAGACCGCTACGTATAACAGGGCATCACTCTACCACTCATTCTTTTCTTATTCATAAGTTATAATTGTTCAAAAATGTGTACCGGCCACACTCTAAAAAAAGTCGTAGATTAATAAACTACAATAAAAGAGTTTTTGGACTAAAAAACTGATAAAAAAACTCTTTTGGATTTTTTGATCAGTTTTTTAGTCCAAAAAACTCTTTTATTGTAGTTTATTAATCTACGACTTTTTTTAGAGTGCAGTTTTACAAAAGCAGAAAAAGCGATTTTTTTCAAAGTAATTACATTTGTTGAAGCTGAGAAGAACGGTTCGACGATTCCTTTAAATAACACAACCGAATGACTATCAGCCATGCTCAGCATTGCTCAGGCAACATTGTTTCGCGTGAAAGAAGAACTACACAACTTGCAATCATCACAACAAAAGAAGCAGACGACAACGACGAAGAACTACCACGAAGACGAACCCGATCCAAACTCAGCTGCCACCGCAGTATTTAATTTTCTATTTTTTGCCTTATCTCTTTTCACATGTGTACGCGTGATCTTTTAGTATCGTACTGACTATGGTCTACTTTTTCGTCTCTCTATTTTTATTTTTACTTTTTCTATTTCGTGTATCTTATTTCGTTCATCTATTGTTCTTTTTCGTTTAGTTGTGATCACTATTATTCTAGGTCTATATATTGCGTCATCTTTAACTATCCCTATATATTTTTTCTTTTATGTCACATGTCTTTGTTCCTTTGGATATATATGTTACAGGGAATGTAGGAAATCAGGGAATGTATACATTTCCTAACATTTGCAGGGAATGTGTACATTCCCTGATAGTAGGCATGTATCGAATCCAAATAATTCATCTCAAAGATGAGATATTTTTTACATAAAGAACCCCCGAACCCGACCGAATCTCAATGTGAAACATGAACAATTTTGTGGGCTCTATCCGATCTTGATGTTGGATTTCAACTAGTTTTTAAAAAGATACCAAGATTCGGTAGGATTCGGTGAAAAATGCCAAAAAATGCAAAATTTCACCGAATCCTACCGAATCTTGGTATCTTTTTAAAAACTAGATGAAATCCAACATCAGGATCGGATAGAGCGCACAAAGTTGTTCATATTTCACATTGAGATTCGGTCGGGTTCGGGGATCCTTTATGTAAAAAATACTTCATCTTTGAGATGAATTATTTGGATTCGGTACATGCCTATCTGATAGCGTTCAGGGATTTGAGTATATGACATCCAAATTTCTCTTGGAATATAATAAATTCATGAATTATGTGATGTTTGAAGTTAGGGTAGAGAAAAATCCTAAAATTTAGTAATCTACTATCCATTTCAAAATAAAATGGAAAAAAGTATTTTTTGAATAACCTTTTAACACAAAGAGTTAGAACCATGCGATTTCCAGTATTTGATAGAGGAGCCACTGAAAAAGAAGTCTATGGAGAAATTAGGCCTTCCGATCAGATCTACCATGATGTACTTCGTCGAACAAATCCGAAAGCTTTCAGTTTCAAGAGACATAATGTATTTTGAATTCTGACATGTTTATTAGAACCTCTAGACTGTCCTCTTTAAAACTATACAAGTTCCAAATTCTTACTCCCATATGGGCATTTTCCCACGACCTACCTATCGGCTAAACTTCATGTTTGGAAACTTTCAAAATACATGGAACATAGGTTATCGATCACGCTGAATCTTACGGCAATGTTTGTTTTTCGCGAAAGTTTGAAAAACTAGTGAACTTCTATTCGGACATCATGAACTTATAATAGTTTTAAAAATCAACAGATATTATGGAAGTTCACGGATTCGAACATCATGGATTCGGTACATGCCTACTATGTGAACGTACACATTCCCTACAAATGTCAGGAAATGTATACATTCCCTTCATACATTCCCTTCCGTTCAAAATTTTTAGGGGGGCTTGTATTATGGGGGGGCTACTATTACGGCTTTCGTACAAAAATTTTCAGAAAAAAAAGGAGATTTTGAATTTCGATGCTCTTGCCTTTCTAATCACGGTAATCTCAATTAATCTGAAAAAGATTTTTTTGAAATAAAAAATGTAAATTTTATTCGTTTCCTTTTTTTACACTCGACATCACACAAGAACAATTGAAGTAAAAAAAACGCGTGTCGATCAAATGTGTCGTTTAAAAAATTCAAATTATTTTTCCGACGTAATAGAAGCCCTTGGGCTTCTAATACAAATTCCACAT